TTTTAAAGAAGTCTGGGCAGATTTGTTCAATGCGATGCATCGTTTGATTTCTTGACTGCTGCTACCATGGTCACTGATTGTAATACAGTGAAATCTTTCATAAATTCAATCATTTTTCCATTTATGATGATGTTGTTTATTGGTCCAGTTGTGATAACTTCTATTTCTTTACATAGAGGTGCAATCCATATTGAATGACTCCATCATTAAGTATCACATATACACGAGTATAAGCCAACCCGAATACCAGTCGAGGCACTTAATTTTACCACAAAAACTGCATAAACATGTGCTGGAAAAACTTGGCTTACACACGAATATAGATGGTACTTCAAGTCTTCCTTGCTTTTAGCAAGCAAGGTTATTTTATGTGCATATTGTAAGCTGCTAATAAGTCTTCATCCAATTCTGATGCTGCATTCTTCTTTATTATCATCTAGCTGCTTAGATTATTGTTCAGCATATAGATTAAATAAGTATGGCAAAAGGATACAACCCTTTCCTGATTTTAAACCAATCAGTATCAGCTTGTTCTGCTTGAATGACTGCCTCCTGGTCTACGCACATGAGAACAACGACATGTTCTGGAACCCTCCACCCCCCTTTCCCCCAATGTTATCCATAGTTATGATCCACAGAGTTGAATATCTAAGTAAACTCTGATATTTTCTGCATTCAGCAAATCCACGTGACATCAGCAACAATGCCACTTGTTCCATATCCTCTCTTGAATCCAACTTGAATTTCTGGAAACTTCCTGTCAATGGGCTGCTGCAATAATTTTTATATTATCTTCAGCAAAATTTTACTTGCATCTTTTAATGATATGGCTCTATAATTTCCACATGCTGTTGGGTGACTTTTTTTGTGCCATCGTATGTATACCAATCTTTTATACTCAGGTAGCAATTTTCCAAATTTCTTGGCACAGATGAGTGAGCACCTTGAACATGTATCAGTTTGTTGAAGCATCTCAATTAGTATCCTGGAGCCTTATTTTTTCACTAAGGACTTGGGTATATCTTGGACTTCTTCCTTCAATACCATCAGTTCTTGAACATAACTTCCTCTTGTCAATCAATTCTTTTTGACACAGTGAAAAATAATTTCCTTCCATCTTCTTTTGATGTTTCCTGTATCTGCCTATTTTTTATGTAGAATAATCCTTCACTGTTGCAACTTGCCGCTTGAAGTTTTTCTTCTGTTCTGTCAGTTTGGAAAAATAGTGTGCTCTTCTCTTTTGGCTTGTTAATTCTAGGTCTTTGCACATTCCATTATAATACTTTATCTTCTAAGCTGCCCTTTGAAATTTTGTATTTAGCTTTTTATTTCATCATTTCTTCCTGTCCCTTTAGTTTTTCTACAATCAAGAGCAAGTTTCAGAGTCTCCTCTGACACCCACGGTTGTCTTTTCTTTTCCTGTCTCTTCAATGATCTTTAGCTTCTTTCAAGTCTTCGCATGCTTCACGATGTTCTGGATGTCCCCCAATAATTTTTTTGATCGCCAGTGGTCACTAAATCAAATTTATTCAAGAGGTAAGCTTGAAATTCAGGTGGGATAGATTCAAAGTCATATTTTGGCTTTCATGGATCCATCTTAATTTTCTTTGGCTTTAACCAGAATTTACATATGAGCAATTAATGGTCAGCTACTGGCCTTGTTTTGATGATATTGAGCTTTTCCATTCTCTCTCTCCTTTTCCCCAAACCGTTTTATTAAGAGCTAATCCAGACATCATACCATTACAATAACTACCACAACTATCAGCTTCAAAACATGTTCTTCCTCCTTGAACTCCGTGTTAATGTCTCCCCTCGAACATCTCTTTTTTTTTTTTTTTAACATTTTATTAGGGACTCATACAACTGTTATCCCAATCCATACACACATCAATTGTGTAAAGCGCATTTGTACATCGTTTCTCAAAACATTTTCTCTCCATTTAAACCCCCGACATTAGGTCCTCATTTTTCCCCTCCCTCCCCGCTCCCCCCTCCCGCATGAGCCCTTGATAGTTTATAAATGGGTATTTTGTCATATCTTGCCCTGTCCGACGTCTCCCTTCATCCACTTTTCGGTTGTCTGTCCCCCAGGGAGGAGGTCACACACAGTTCCATGTAATCGGTTCCCTCTTTCCTACCCATTCTCCCTTTACCCTCCCTGTTTCGCCACTCATACCACTGGTCCTATAGGGCTCATCCGTCCTGGATTCCCTGTATTTTCAGTTCCTATCTGTACCAGTGTACCTCCTCTGGTCTAGCCAGACTTGCATCGAGCATCTCTTTTGATAGATGTTGTCAGTTTCATTCCTGTGAGTTCCATGTGGTGAGGTTCATGTGTATAACCATTATTATGTTGTTGAAAAAGGGTATTGCCAATGAATAAGATGTTGGTCTTGCAAAATTCCATCACGCGATCTCTGGCTTCATTTCTGTCTTTAAGGTCATATTTTCCAAGTACTGATTCTTCCTCTTGGCTTCTTGGCTTTCACAGTCTAATCCCCAGTAATGATCAATGCATCTTGATGACATGCTTGATCAATTTCAGACTGAAAAAAATTGGTAAAATTCTTCAGTTTCTTAATCATAGGCTGTAGTGGTTCATCCGACAATTTGAATAGCAGTTGATTAAATGGTCTTTTACATATATGAATAGTGTCCTATCACAGACAGCCTTGTACTTCAACACCAAATTTCAAATGTTCTTTTAGACCATGGATACGACACCATTGCTCTTGAATTTGCCGTTTCTGGCAGAGTGAAAACCGTATGATTGTCCAATTCAGTATGGTCCATTCTAGTCCACTTCACTACATTCATGTTTATACATTCCATGTTCTGATTATTAATGGGTGTTTTCAGTTGTTTCTTCGCATTTTCAGTTGTGCCTCATCAGCAAATGAAGGTCCTGAGACCTATGCTCCATCCATGTCCTGCGTCTTCTAACCTGAGTTGCTCATCTTCCAGCACTCTACTGGATGACGTTCCAATGCTAGTCAGAAGTGCGTTGGTGACTAACCTTTCCGAAATGGTCTGCCTGTTCCTTCTTCCGAGTCTGTCTTAATCTATAAACTCTGCTCACACCTATGCACCATAGGTGACCCTGCTGGCATTTCAAATACCAGTGGCAGAGCTTACAGCAATGAACAGACAAGTGGTTGCAACATCACCAGGGAAATACCGATTTAAACACACACAGATACTGTGGTAAAGTAATGGCTAAAAACATTATGAATACAAAACTAAAACAAAGGACTGCCTGAATTTAAGAAGACTGATCATATCAAGTGTCAGTGAGGATGTGGAGGAAGTGGAACTCCCTTATCCTTACAGTGCTAGTGCGAATAAAAAGTGGCACAGCTCCAGTGGAAAGCAGTTGGGTAGTTTCTTACAAAATGAAATCGATACATCTACCATATCAAGGAGGCATCCTATTTCCAGTTATTTGCCCAAGAGAAATGAAAACATACGTTCAGAAAAAAGATAGGTACTCCAATATCCACAGCAACTTTATTTCCAATATTCCCAATCTGGAAGCAGTTCAGATGTCAATCAGTGGGTAAATAGATAAAAAATGTTGTGGGTATGTCAATACAATGGACTACTACTCAAAAATAAAAATAATTTTAATAAACACAACAAAAATGATTCTCAAAAGAACTATGCTGAGTAAGAGAAACAAAGTAATACAGAGTGCATACTATATAATCTTATTATTTTAAGAAATCTAGAAAATTCACACAAATTCCTAGTGGCAGAAAGCACATTTGTTCCCCCGGGGGATTGGAAATGGGCTGGGAGGGGCAGGATGTACAGATTACAAACAGGCAAAAGGTAATGGATATGTTTATTTTCTGGATTTTAGAGGTAGCTTTCCATATGTAAAAGCTTTGTCAAATGATCAATTAGTTAGTTATCAGAACAGTTATATACATCTAGACCAGGGGGCTGCAAACTTTTGAGCTGGAGAGCCAGTCCTGTCCCTCACAACAATTTAAACATTATTCAAGAGCTATCACTTTTGTTTACAAACAAATGAAATCACCCTTAGCTGAACAATAGCCTGTAACATTTTATAAATTAGACTATGATAGTTCTATTTTAATTTTCAGTTTTACTCAGAACCACATGTGTGTAGCAAGAGAGCTGCCGATGGCTTCGAGCGGCGGTTCGCTGACCTCTGGTCGAGACAAAAGAAATTGATCCAGGAATTTTAAAGAGTAAGGCATGTCACAGACATCTGAATGAAAGAGCAGGGCACTGTGAATAGTGAGTAACCATTTCTGATTATTTTCAAAAATCACAAAAGTCCATAAGACCAACTCACCCAATAAATGCTTTTCTATGGGTGGAAGATCTTTGAAACAGATCCGCAAAATGAAAGATCTCCTCAAATAAAGAGACTAGGGTTTAGAGTGGCATGGAAACTTATTTTTCATTCATATTTCAAAATCTGTATCACACTACCCTTACATTTTATGTTTTGAAAACAAATACAAAATGACACAAAAATTCCATTTGGGGGAAATCCGTCCTACAGAAACACATGTTCAAGAACAAAAATAAAGATGCACCGAAGACCACATTGAACAATTGTTACAATATGAGAAACCGAAAACAATGAAAATGTACAAGTTAAATAAAAATTAAAAATTGTTTATGTTGAGTATATTTTAACATGCAAGTATAACAAATAATAGCCTCTCTCTGAGAAATCTAGAAGTACATAGACTGCTTACAACAGTTGCCTCGTGGGATGGTGCCTTAGGGAATACTGGGACGGTACACAAATACCATCTTAATTTGCTTTCTAAATCTTCAAGTTTCTGAATTGCAGGGATGTGTGTGTGTGTGTGTGTACTAGGCATGTTTATTTCCACTTAAATAAACATACAATGAAGTGAAAGCGTCTTAACGTTTAGATAACTCAGCAGTTGCCATGCTCAGGGCCCCTTACTAGAAAGCGGGCTGGTTTTTGCACAGCTCCTCAGTTCACTCACCCTTTTCCGAGCCTCAGCTTTCTGGAAGCATTCTCGCTGTATGAAAGTGGCTGCAGCAGCAATCCTCGGCAGGGGCGTGTGCTCCGCATCCAGCAGACTGACTGCTCGTTCCAGAGTCATCTCCATGTCGGCATTCCTAGACAAACAGTCACAGACTCAGCAGAATACCAAACGTGCCCCTCCTGCTCACCCCACTGCTCCTCTACAGATGACTTGGCTGATATTGGGAAATACATAGAATGGTTGCGCTATGTGGCTCCTCAGGCAAAAGAGAAACCTGAGACCGAGAGGCAGAGGAGTTAGTACAGAACTACTCCAGCTGTGGTCACACTAGTCTTTAGAGATGTCACTAAACTGAGTAAAACCATAACATGTGCCAGAGAGAGAAACTGATGAATACACATAACCTGATAAGGATACACCAAAAAGTGCCATTAAAGGCACAACAGGACTTTAGAGGAAATTTAAAAAAATCTGCTTACAGAAATTAAAAACCTATATATGGATATATATCTTACCATAGAAATGTCACCCTGTAGAGGAAATATCTGTCCTAACAAATTATTAG